CAAAATCTCTAGAGGTCATAGGTTTTCATCTGCATGTCGCTTCGTCGAGTTTGACACCCCTGTAATTTGCCATGTGTTGATGCCTTTTTTAGGGTCATTTACACTGCAAGATATGTTTTGAGGTCTCCAAGTGTTTGCTTTCGAGGGACAAAATATGAAATTTACCGTGATAATTTTGCTTACTTGCATTCTATATTGTGACACCGGGCCGGCTGTGATTAGAACTGTTTGGAAGTATCGTGGGTAGATTCTTATCAGACTTATCACGGATATTATATTATTTGTCCTTGCTCGTTTTTCTTCTGAGACGCCGTGGCTTTGCTTCGAGAAAGCTATACGTTTCTCCAGAAACATTCTTTTGTTTCTTGCAACTATCTGATCGAGCTTATGTTTCTCGAGCTCGATGTATAGGTTTCTTCGGTCGTTCTGGCACCACGTGATTCAAATGTAGCTGTTTGCGCGCAATAAAAAGGCAAAACACTAACCCCACCCCTACAGGAGTTATTTTGTTGGCTGCACTGGAAATCTACGAGACGGTTTACGGACAAACTAGCCGATTCGTTGCAGCTGGGTTACTAGCAACTATCTCGAAAAGACCGACGCTACATCCTAACTCGAAAATCCAACTCGAAATCCTACCTCGAAAATCCAACTCGAAATCCTAACTCGAAAATCCAACTCGAAATCCTACCTCGAAAATCCAACTCGAAATCCTAACTCGAAAATCCAACTCGAAATCCTAACTCGAAAATCCAACTCGAAATCCTAACTCGAAAATCCAACTCGAAATCGAACTCGAAATCCTAACTCGGAAGTTAGTTTGTCTCTGGTTCCACACCAGATGTACCAGTTGAACCAAGAGACTACACTGCAAACTTCGGATTGAACTCCATTAGATAAGATGCCCCAAAGATTTGAAACAGTTTACCAGACAAAATACCGTAGGCAACAAACATAAGAACTTTGTAAAAACAAATTAGAAACAGGGCTTTTGTTAAATAACCAACTTTAGCTAGTACATTGAATATATATAAATAATTCACCCAGAATTTTTTTCCATTTCAATTGAATTTCATTTTACATTTTGAACTGTTCAGTTGATGTGTATTCATGTTTCTTTATTTGAAATAATCTTTCGCCTCTTAGTTTACACGGAAAATTACCTTTCTGAAACCGTAAAAAATTCATATGCATATATCCTTCCCTAGTGTCATGTCCTGTCATGATCTACGTTGGTTCCCCGAGAAAAGAGTGCCTTCGGGGGAGGAGCACCAGCTCCTTTCGCGAACAACGGCTGGCAATCGAACCTTCTCATGACCATATTTCACGGAAAACGAAATCGTCATGTTGCGTTTTGCCCATTTTAAGGACTTAAGTGGTTATTGAGCAGATCACGCCTAATCAGGGAAACAAACACAAATCCGGAGTCATTTCGCAATTTACCCACAACCCTTTACCACCTCCACCCGAGTAATCTACGACGGTTCCCTTCCCAGTCACTCGATAAGGCGCGAAGTTTCATAGCATGCACCAATATTGACACATGACTAATTCCCAGACCTTCAGGCGTAATTTGCGCTCGCTCACGAGAGAAAGCGAGCACTTAAGTTCTAGTCTCTATCACTTCCAGTTCCATTCCTGAAATATTGTTCAGACAACATACAGTTCTTTTGAGAGAAGTAAGACTTTTTTAATAGCAACTTGCAAAGGCACCAGGTGCACTGCAGCTAGCTCTCAATTTATCACCTCGTCTAGGAGGCACTTTGATATTGTATGGACAAAATTTACACTTAGCTACCAACTATCTTTTATTTATAGTACATTCGTTTCTTGAATAAGAGCGTTAAATATTTGGTTTATGTTTTGGGCAATATATTACAACGTTTCGATGGCAGGCTTTGTAAGAGAACACGAGCCAGTCCTGTTCTGCGTCAAAACCAAGAGCCAAGTCGAACCAAGTTACTCTATGCGTTTTGGACTATAAACTTACTGAAATTACAAGACTAGCAATTCAAATGTTAATGGTCAGTTTAGAACTTGCCATGATTTACAAGTTAACAGCCTGTTTAACCTCCCACCCCTATCTCCAGCCCTATAGGTGGACCGCGATCTCACGATCGAAAGATAAAAGTCGCTTTGAATTCTAAATTCAAACGTTTTTAAGCTTTTTTTTTCTTGGCCGCCGTCAAAATAAGAATTGTTTAAAACCAACATTTCAGAACTTCTCCCATGTTCACAGCCACTAAGTGGGTGATATTTTTGTTAGGTTACAACGTAAACAGCAGCGGTTCCTTCTCAGTTGTCCTGGTGATGTTCGCTTTTGGTCTGGAGGACTGTAAACTGACTGACTGACGTAACTGTTGCGCGCGGGATGCTGTGATAAATGCTGATGGCATGGATATTTAAATTCTTTATAATCTACAAAAAAGGAATGACAATTAGGCAATGAAAAAGTTCAGTATCTAAGAGCTATAACGTGGTCGGCAATTCTGTATAGATTAACTAACGATTTCGAAACATGCAAACGTGTATGCGTGTCCCGTATACAGAACACGGATGAATACAGAAATATCCATTAAGTCAAAAGGAAAACAAACCACCAGCTTGTCCTTTTCCTAAAAATACCACCGAAGTTCTTACAACGTTTTATCATACATTTTCTAAAACAAATCGATTATTTAGTTATGAGGTTTGTCCTTAGATGCAAACGAGTTAAAGCCAGTGACCATCTTACTAAGATTTGTCTGCATGCGAGCAAAGTGGCCCATCAGGCCAGAGGTTATCCCGGTTTAGCATGAAGTGACTAGAAGTATATCTACTCCCCCCTGGATGGGATGCTGGTTACCCCCAGGAATTAAGTTAGCCGGTACCCATTTATACACCTGGGTGGAGAGAAGCACTGTGAGAGTAAAGTGTCTTGCCCAAGAACACAACACCGAACAATACCCCCGAATACGGACCGCTCGATCCGGAGACGAGCGCACTAACCATGAGGCCACCACGACTCCCGCCGGCGGAGAAAAGCGAGCAATTTTAGTTTCTCGCTCAAGTTTGCTTACCTAGGATCCCTTCCAAGGATCAAAAGCTAGCAGAGCTCGGCGTTCTTGGACTTGCAGAGAACAGTGGCGTACCGTACTTTTTCTGTCTCGCGCGCGAGTTTTGAAACCACACTTGCGTGACTCTCTTGCTAAGACCGGTTAGCTGGGCGATTCGTTCCAGGTCCTGCCCGTCGGGATTGGAGTCGATGTTGAAGTTAGCCTGTAGGATTTGAAGTTGTTCCTCGGTGAATGTGGTGCGCACTCGTTTGGTTTTATGGCACTTCAGAATTCCTCCGCTTGAGGGCGAGTCTTCGCTATCAGCATCTAATCAAAGAACAAAGACCAATATAAGACTTTCAACTTCACAGCCAAATTGTATAAGTACGCCAAGATCCGGCCCGTTTTCCTCCTGGGGTAGAACGCGAGTCTTTTTATGTCCAAGCTAGCAAGATTAACAAGTCGACCTTTCGCTCAATCCAACTGACCCCGGCACAGCCGGGAGACGCATTTCTCGCCGGCAGCTAAAGTCGAGGATTTCGCTCCAGTCGCAAGACCATAGTCAGCGCAAATTGCAGTCAATGCCACCTGATGAAACTCTCAATAAACAAAACTAGCTGCGATTTCCAATCACAGTGGATGTAGTTTTGTTTTTGTGGTTTAATGTTTACTGTTGGAAAACACTACCCGTCCTTTGAACAACAGTCGAACTGAAGGAACGACAATCTCGGCATAATCACAGTTATGGAACACTGCATTTTAAAAGCACCCATCGCAACTAAGGGTGAAGAGTTTATCTTGATTAGGCAGAAGAATGCATTAACCAAGGGTACAAGCCCTTAATATCAGTGCAATAAACTCTCAAGATGACGGGGCCATATATAAATAGTGCTTGGGGCCATGACCATGCACATAGAGGGATTGACTACAGTTTGTGGTGACAATATACCGTCAACTTTTCAAGTTTATTTTGTTTAGACTGTAAGATTTCTCCAATCATAGCAAAAGAAGACATTTTACTGCTTTCCAAAGTGGGAGTAAAGCTGAAACTGAACATACGTGCAGGTCAATCACCTTGTATCATGTCCTCAATCCCTCCATCACTTTGAGTGCAGAACGAAAGGGTCACTGAAGAGGACAAAGAAAGATTCGAGAGTAAGCTACTGCGCAGCACCACTAGAGTGGTTTTCACTTGGGCGTTGTAAAACCAAAACCAAAGCAATCACTCTGGCCAATCACAAATTACACAGTTAACCCAATGAAGCAATCAAAACGCAAAGCAAATGACATTTCCGCTTCAGACGGATAGAACGTGTTGGTCGATCTAAATTCAGTCAGACGAACTCGGTTGAGTCAAACGTCGAACTTATCACGAACTTAATTCGCTCAATTTAGTTCGTCTCATGTGAAGTTCGACGTTTGACCTGGGCCTTCAGCTAGCGTGGAAATCCCGGCAGAACCAAAGTAAATGCGAAAGATCAATAGAGCGCTTTGCTGTTTGAGGTTACATAACTGCTGTTAAATATAAAAATGTTATGGGTTATAAGTTAAAAATAAACACCAGTTATGTTAAGCGGATCGTAAACTTCATAACACTGTTAATTTTGAGGCTACATATATTTTATGACAGTTGTTGAATACTGTTTAGAAAATTTAGGGAATACGTTTTGGCATAAAAAGTAATTAGGAAATAAGCCTTGCTCTGTAATACCTTCATAATTATTAAACCCGAGTTATTAGCGGACATTCGGATATTATTTTAATGTCTTAAACCAGACTTCACAGTTCAAAACGCATACTTGCGCACGCTGATGTTGAAACAATTTTAACACTGGAACGATCAAAACCCTTGATTGTACGATTTTTCGCGAAATTTCTAGTTTCGTGCGTGTTTTTGCGCTACGTTAACATGCGTTATGCGTCTTGCCTTCCTGTTCTTTCACGGTTTTGACGTACACAGATCCTACCCGCCAGCTGCCTTGTGCAAGCTTTGTGTGCCGTTAAAGAGGCCGCAAGTTCCATTAATTATAAATGTACGTTAATTACCGAAACTGAGAATCGGCACAATAAGACTTCAATTTCACACCTCCGAAAAGGTCTTCTTCATACCGTTCTTCTAAAATACGCTTTTGTAATGTAAAGACCAACCTGCCGCCAACTCCAAATACGCGTAGTTTCGATTGTCAATAAGCTTTGTTAATCGCAAAAGCTAAAATCGCTTTTTTTAAAAAAAAATAAAAATAAAAATAAAAATAAAAAATAAATTTACGCAAGGGTACAGTATTTATTCTCGGGCTAACAATTTGAACCGACTGTTAACATAGAGTAAACGAACACACTTACATAAATGTGTAAAAAAATGGCGGTCCTCTCCAGACAGAATCATAAACTTCAGACCAGTTAAAAACGACTAATTGCGCAGACGATTGAAAGAACCTGTTTGGAAGCAACACCCTTTTATACAGTGACAGAAACGCGAATGCGCCTTTTGATCAAGCAAACTTTTCAAGACGCCTCCCGATTATCTGTTTTGTAAAATGGCAAAACTTTGACGAGGTGTAGGGTAGGTCAAGGTGTACACCACAAAAGTGCCGGAATTGTTCACAAATTGAGCTTTATTAAGCTTCAAGTAGAACTGAGGGCACGCGTTTTGATTTAAGCGAAATGATTATCAGTGTAAACCGACTTTTATAGTATTTATTTATTTATTTTTTCACAAAAACCCAGTCTTTCTTTACATACTTAAAAGAAGTAACTATGTTCTTTTTTATGTTCTTTTTTGTTTAAGCAAAATTTGACGGGGTAAGCAGAATGAAAAAAGTATCGTACAACTCAATGGTACAGTGATCCTGTTGTGGTCTTTTTTTCTTCGAAAAGGAGCCGATAATAGTAGACATACATTGAGTACAAAGCACAAAACAAACTCACCTTCTTGCGAAGAGTTGTCGGATGGGAAGACTTCCAGACTCTCCATGTAGTGTAATTTACAGAGAACGTGTCCTTCCTTGAGCGCGAACTCCTCGCCGGTGGAAAGTTGCCGTTTGCACGCGTCGCACGCGAAACACGCGAGGTGGTACACGCTGCTTCGCGCGCGCCTCACCCAATCGTTGGCGTGGATACTTCGTCCGCATCGAGCACATTTCGTGCCGAACTGTCTGTAGTTGAAATAATAACAAAGATCAATGTAATCCTCGATAAGGCCGCGTGTTCGTACAAAAAGGGGGGAGGTAAGGGTGGGATAAAGCTATGTTATGGCGCGTAAAACATGTTGTTTCTGCACTGTTGTATAGCAAAGAAGGTTTACTATTCTGATTGTACTGGAGTTGACATATGAATGGTGTCTGTTGGCGGTCAGACAATGGACAACAGTCTCAGTTAGCTTACTTTTCAACGAAGCGTGTATCATGCAGAGACGGTTCTGGAGAGAGGGATTCTCGGCAATTCGAACATAAGTGGCCGAGTAAATACAAGAGAAAGCAATAACAACAAGAACGAAAACACAAGCGGTGGAAACTACACACAAACTTGAGGTACATCACTAGAATATTAATTGCAGTTATTAAAGAAAGTCATAACGAGGCCGAATGGAACTCGTTCTTTTCCTTCACATTCATCACTAAGGGATTCAGCTGCCCACGAAAACTATTTCGATTAGTTTCAGTGAACTTTTTTGATTTCCAGACCACGATTTTCTTCGTAAGATGCACTGAAACCTCCAGAATTACGAACAACACCATGGATATCTTTTCCTTCAATTTCTGAATACAGCTTAACCACGAGGTTCGCTTTCAACCGTGCCTTTGATGTCTGAAGCGCAATCTCTTTATCGTAATAGGTGTTTTGTTTTGTTCTACTTTTATCGTTACTTTTTCTTAATATTCAGGGCTGAAATTATTAACTTTAAAACTACTAGGCAACAGGTAAAAGAAATTATCGCTTCTGGCAACACACCCGACCAACCGAGTTTTGGGTAAATGTTTCCAAACGGAACCAAAACCATATGTACCAAATGGCACCAAGGTGATCGCATGTCTACAAAAAAGAGTTCTTAAACTGTTTCTTGTGTGCTGGACAAAAATATAGATAGAACACTCTCTCAATTTTCAATACTCCGAAGGGATCTCTTCATTTCCATCTGGCACAAAAGCTTCCAAGAAATGCGATCTTCGAATATCTTGTGTTTTCGCTGCAATGATTAAGTCGTACCACTTTCAAACACAAATAAGGTCACTGGTAGAAGGTGCGAAAAATAATTTGCAAGTTTGCATTTTAAACGCAGTTCGCTATGTTTACATTCACACGTACTAGGCAGGTGGTTTTTTTTTTTTTTCTTTAGCTCTAACTATCGTCACAGGACCAGGAAATTCAAAGAACGCAATTTTATACAATCTGCCGAGTACCTACCAGTTTAGGCTTGCGACGAAGGGAAAAAACTATATAAATATATACATTTGCATGCGCGTATTATAAAACGCACGCAAAATCCGCGAAAACTCCGATTTTTAATATTGCTCGTGAAACCTATAAAACGGATCAAACACATTACTCATGCAAGCACTTTGTCTTTTGGGCAGTCGCTCCGACGACAATAAAGCGACGGCTTTTGAGCCACAAAAAGTAAGAATCCCTTAATTCTGCGCACTCCTAGGGCTTCCGTTTTATCACCGCCAAAGTTTCCCAAAGAAAAAGCTAAGGAGAGCGCGTTTCGAATGCTATTTGTAGCAGTCAAAACTGCTATTGTTAGAGATGCCGTGCTTGGGGATTACGGAATAATCTGGTAGTTACATAAAAGACCACAGTTGTGGTATAGTTAATGCAATGTCCCGCGGAGTTTTATTTAACTTAGCACTAAAAAACCAGGAGAGTACATTGGGATCGCATTTCATTGTTTAACGGTTCAACAGGCTCTTGGCGAAAGCGTCTAAAAATTAAACACCAGAATGCAAATAAAACGTTCCAATTCAATAAAAGTATACGGAGGGTTTTCTAATCGAAACTAATCTTTAAAATTCGCCTCATACTGTTATATCACAAACCGACGCCAGCGTTTCTCTGTTCTGATGGTGAACAGGAAATTCGGTTAGGTCAGGAAAACTACGAAATTTGCACATTAATGGTGCGCGAAACACTAGAGTACAAATTAGGATAGCAAAAGTAATTCTCACTCCCTTCCTAATGGAAACAGAAACTTAACAAAAACCTAAAGAAACCTGCAAATGTCTCAAAACACGATGAACGTAAATTAACGTTCACCCTGAGGCAAATTGTGACCAGAGAAAGTAATTAGAATAAAAGACCAACAAATATCATTTTTTTACCAACCGCTTTATACCTTGGCTGGTTTAAACACCACTGCGATAAACACGAATTATAAAATACCCCAAGCTTAACCCATCGCTACTTCAAATTAAATCTCCGCGATTGTTTATTTATTTTTTTCCATTCTTTTTTTCATGGTTGTCGCGTGGAAGCGATCGGTAAACATGTTGTTCACGACTGTAAGAGGCTCGCAGTAAGTGAAATTCAAAGACTAAACACAAACTCTTGCAAAGGTACCACAATCAATGAACACGCAAATAAACAAACCTCGCGTAGTCGGTTTTGCAGTAAATTTTGTCTTCTTTGGTATAACACGTTGCTTCCTTGCCGAGTTCCAGTCCACATATACAGCATTTCAGACAACCCGTGTGCCAAGCTTTGCCGCTGACTTTAACCAGGTATCTATCCATAATTCTGCCTTTGCAACCTGCGCATTTCTCACCGTGTACCTGGAAACACGAAAAACACACGTTAACGTCAATCGAATCAACCATCCCTCCGTTGTAGCGAGCGAGTTCTTCCTAATCAGTGTAAACGTGTCCTCGAAATCTGCCCTCAGGGCTTTCGACTGAAAAAATAAATAAATAAATAAATAAATAAATAAAAATATATTTATTTGGGGACGGAGAGAGCTTTTAACTTCCTCAGGAACTCCAAAGTTGCCCAGGGGATTCTTGAAATCGACATCCCACTGTGTTCGTTTCAGCCCATCATGCAAACAAGACGCAACTTTTGTCCAGGAAGGTAAACAAATAATTCCCCACACAACAGCTTCTCGAGCACACATGAAACTCGCAATCAACCATGTTACAGTAATAAATACTAGCGCAAACATCCGAAGCGTTGACTCACCGAAGACTGCTCGCCAACTTCGCGAGTAAAATTCGCCGCAGACTTCTCCTCGCAAGCAGTGGTCATCTGGCGAGAGGTTGACAAGGTTAGGACGAAGACAGTGCGGCAAGGGCTGTTTAAAGTATTTAGAGCGACTTTGGGCCTGACCAAAAACCACCCGCTATATACTCAAAGTTGTTCGAACTCTCGCAGGTTACAAATAGGCCAATATAACATGACATGATAATTAGGGTGCTCTGTGGCATGATTGGACGAACTACCTAGGTGGGCGGGGCACAAGTCCTCAGGGAAATCGATATAACACAAAATGTTGCTTCCCTTTGTGTTGCATTCATCAATGAAAGTTGTTTTGAAATGGACAAATATTGCTAAAGTGATGCTCGCTTTAAATTCAGGGCCTCAACTTGTCTGTCCCAAACTAGGACAGGCTACGCAAGGAACCCCAGTTTAACTTTTATTTCGATGTAAATGCGGTCAACACTAAATAATCCCTTCTTAAGCGTGCAATTTTAGATATCTTTTAAGACACTCCGTGCTTTGTTTACAAAATTCACATACGAGCTATCCGCATGAGTGGCAGACCGCGTTAAAAGTGTTAAAGTCGAGCACAATACTCCAACACCCATTTTGGCGTTCACTTTTTACCGCTCAAAACGCAGTAAAGTTAAAAACAACGCCGGATGTCTGTTCAGAGCCACACACACCATAATCAAATGACAAAACGAGAAATAAATTCACAGTGCTGAAGGTTACCTACAATGACAGGTTATTTCTTTTATAAACGCCGTCAATATTTCAAATGGAACTACAGCTGTATGGTGTAAACCACGAATCCTAAAAGCACCTTATTTTGGACAAAACAAAATTTTGGTCAACCAGAGTTAAAAGCCACGCACGAATTTTCGCGCTTCTTCTTTCAACTAGAGCTTCCTGAAGCTGGCCTCCTGAAACACAGGCTGCCATTTAAGGTTTAAAGTTAACGGCAATTTAACTTATACAGCGATTTTAAAAAGGGAAACACCTCTACCACGCAGTTGGTTTTTGACGAACGATTCGTAAACGGATTAGCCGATTCACTTCGAAATGCGAGGGACAAGTGCAAACGGTAGGCTGTCGATTGAACTATAGACTGAAGATATCACAAATCAGTTCTTAAACTGAACCAAAGAAAATATCGAAGAACGATATGCAATATGACAACTTCAAGGACACATTATTCCAAGCATTTAACGTCAGACAAACATTTCGAGTGAGTATGTGCTTCCTCGCAAGACTGCAGCCTTTTTCACCATTGTAATACTGACAGGAAAGGTGAAATAAAAGATTGAAAAAATTTTTTTCGAGACCGGATGGCTCAATTTTAATTATACCCTTATTGCTGACAGTTCGCTCTAACGCAACAATTAAGTAGATTTACTTAACTTTTGTTTTGCAAAAGAAGCGATTTCTGGCATTTTGTAACACCAGAGAGGCATGAAAAATCATTTTAAAAATTTGCATTCAAAGTTATTCTTTATAAACGTTAATAACAAAAGCAACGAATTTCTGGAATATTTTTCTCTTAAATATAACGCGTGGGCTGAGTAACGTGCTCTGAAACAAAAAAAAATGCCAGTGTAACGGCACCGTACTGCCCAAAATAAAACTACGATTATACATAAACCAAAAAGTTAACAACTTAAGATAGCGGACTTGATTAACGTTAAGTCTAGACACATTTAAGTTGGAAGCATTGCTTAATAATCAACTAGAACTATGGTTTTAATGCTTTACGCTTTGGGTTAAGGAAGCGCAGGTTTTTAGAAACATGATCTATAAAAGCGATGGTGTTCGTTTCAAGACATCTTCCCATTTTTGCGAGATCACAAGAAAATTTCAGGGTGAGCAGGTGTCAATTGGGTCTTAATTTGTTTCGCCACCGGATATAACGGTATTTAAAGCGCGGTTTTATTTTTGGGGGCAATTGTTTCCACTGAAAAGGCTTCTGGTAATGAATAATTGATAAGACCTGGATTGAATCCGTGTTGTGAGACAATAAAAGAAGTAGGAAGCAAGAACTGGCTAGTGGAAGCGAGTGGAGCAAATAAAGTCATGGCAGAGAAAAACAGCAACACCAGAAGAGAGCATTAGACAATCTAAAAAACAGATGATTTAAAAACGTCGACCAAATCAAAGATCAGAAGTAATTCTAAGAACCAAAACAACATTGAAAATATTGGTAATACCAAGAGAGCTTCAGTTAACATGTAACAGTGATAAAAGAAACGCTTCTTGTACTTTTGGTGATTTGAATCGCAAGAAAAATTTAAGAGATTCAAACACGATAATTTTAACAATAAAGATATTCTTTACTTAAAACAGCCAATGCTTTAACGAGTAAAAACAGTTCAAATAACAACCTTTGAGTACTCTGAAAACAAAAGAAACAAATCGAGATAGATTTCAATGCTTCAAAATTTATGACAGAAGTTAAGGCCACAGGGCTAAGCAAATGCTAGCGAACGGGGTAAACTTTTACAGAAAAATCGATGGACAATTGTAAAAGCTCAAAATAAAGCAGGAACAAACATGATTTCACAGAAAGATTTGTAACAAAAAAAAAAAAGATTAAAAAAACAGTCAGACATGACGAGCAGATGTTAAACTGAAACTAGAAAAGATTTAGCATTCTTATTCCAAACTAAATAGGTGAGTTTTAATTTCATCAAAATCAATTCCCACTGATTAGACGTTAATTCGAACCGAAGCATCATTGAGCCGTTTAAAATGGAACTACAGATTTCGACCCAAATTGTTACGTAAGTTCAGTTTAAGTATAAAACAAATAAACACTTGACAAGTAATCTGAGAATTAATCGTGTCGAAGAGCTTTTTTTTCCCTTGCAACGTTCAGCAATCTAAAAATTTACAAAAATGGCAAATGATGTTATTTCAAATCTATTCAGGATAATTTCACGCTCTGCACGTGCCAGTTAAAAAAAGCATGCAGGTGTACCTAAAACCCGAGTAGAATATCGACGAGGTTTTAACTTGTGTTTGTGTTATGCCATAGATATATTCTATAGACGACCAATTATAAATTGCTCTCAATCAATGCAATCAAATTATAAAACGCACGATGACTGAAGTAATCCACGCACCGGTGGAACAACAAATGAAGCTGTAAAAAGTCAGAGGTAACAATAATAATATCAAAGCAAAACGAAGTAAATTGAAGCGATCATTCCTTACATGAACCAACGCAGTTGTCAAAACACGAATTTTCCTTTCGGTTTCAAAGATTAAACAAGCAGAAAAAGGCTGTATGAAGCGTATTACTTCTAAAGCAACCAAGGGCTTAACTATAGAGAACTTATATTAGTTACATTTACCACTATTGTGCTGCAAGGACAAATACATACTACACGAAACAAATACCTGAGTGAGAACAAGCGACGCGTGCCAGAGAAAACCGAACAGCGCCTACAATACTTAGAATTCTCTCGTCAAAGAAAGGCTTCCCTCAATAAACTGTACAATAAGTTAATAACTTGCTATGTTAAGTCAATTTGACCCCTGTCTGTAAAAGCTGCAACGACTTCTGGTGCAGAAGAACTTTGTAAACACCAACAACGAAGTGTCTAACATATCAAAACACTCGTGAGATAAAGACGGGATTTTTTTACAATTTTGGTCTCGTTTGCCGAGTATACTGTGCATAACAACGACCTGTTCGTATTTAAACCAAAATATTCGACTTAATTTTAAGTTATGTGCTTTAAAACTGATACTAGCAGCGCGAAAAAACCGAACGTTCCCAGGGAAACTCCGCCATTACAAGACGATCAAAGTTTCAAACCAAACTTTGCCTGGCCGAGAATAACACTTTTGCGCGCAAAGGTCTACTCAAACAGGCATAACGTTAAAGAAAATAAGGTTACCTGGAAACATTTCATCCTTTTACACTCCTCTTTGACACAGAGTATAGACATATTTCAAGGCAAACTCTCCCGCTGATTCAAACGCACGCAGTGACTCGATCTTGTAATGCGGACAGACCAACGCCTGCAAACTACAAGGTGACAATCTTAGGCCGAGGCGCGGGCGCATTACCTTAAGCGGGCGGCAAAATAAACTCAAAGATTGGCGCTATGAGCAGAACCGAACAAAGGCGGTACCAACAAGAAAAACAGCGAAAAAGAGAAAATAACGCGTCGGTACAAAGACGACCCGCTGCTGCGCCATACACCTGGGAAACTACCGCGATTTATAAAATTCCTAAAACACAACTTTTTTTTTTCCTCTGGCTATAGTTAAATCATGAGTTAAGTCCCTTAATTTACTGATTGCTTTCTCACTGCTTTGCCATTACTGCGCAATAAACTTTTAAGAGCGAAGAAACAATTTTTTTTTTTACATGTGGCGGTATTCATAACGGAAAGAAGACCGAACGAAAACACGGATAGCAACGCCGCGGCGAATGTAATTATGCGACTTTTTTCCCGTTAACAAAATGCCAACAGTCTAAAATAAATTGTAAGCTGTAAGGTTTCTAAGTACTTCCATCGAAGAAAATATACAGACAAACAAACAAACAAACAGCATCATCACGGAGAAAACAGCGTTTCATTCATCGAACTTCCACTTGACAGGAAATATGGGACAACTTTTCCATTTTTCGCCCTTATTTTCACGCCGGGGAGACAAACGCCGCAAAGATGTTGCTGACACCCATAGCAAGACAACTACAGAAAGCGTATCGCGTATGTTTGCGTGGAAGTCCAATTCTTTGTAAAGACAGTCTCGCCCAAAAGGAAGGCCGGCGGAAACTTAAAGTCGTGCAGTTTCACGGCAGGGAACATTTTAAGAAGTTTTGATCAGAACCTTATCAAGAGGTTTATGAGCACAAGAGTGAGTAGGTTGGTTGGGAGGCAAAACAGCGCGGTTTACTGCTAAATGTAAAGGATTACGTTTACACAAAGTAAGTGTTGGCGACTGTACGCCCTTCGTCGCTTTGTGCAAAAGCCGGCGTATCTCGGATCAGTAGCCTCGACCATCCCGTTTGATCGTGCAGTGTTTCTTTGATTTCGTCCAAGTCTAACTGTAAAAATCGTTTAACATGCATTCATTTGACAAAAAAAAATATGTCAGATTTAAAAATCGATTTTTCTTTCATATCGCTTTTATTCGTCTCTTTTCGAAACACCAGCATGAATTAAGACATTCAGGACCATTCAGACCCCTCATCACATCACGGAATGTTTGAACGCCGCGGAGTTTGTTTACCATGTACACGACATTATCGGCACCTGCAGATGCGAGTATAGTGGAACTCCGTCATTACCACAGCCTTTGGCCCATAAGAATATGGTCGTTTTAAAGAAGTGGTCACATTAAAGGACAATTGCTCACTAAGATTTTTCCTTGGACCAAAAGAGTGGCCGTAATAAAGGAACAGTCGTATTAACAGGGGAACAGAAAGGCGCGATTTCACCGCTGTGGTCAAAAAACTGAAAATATGAACTTGCAAACAGACTTGCGTGGGGTAGCCAAGTACACTCTCATGTTTATTCGGAAGAGTAAGTTGCAAAAGTCATTTGAATGTTTCTGGTCGGATAAATTGGGCGCTCTCCGCATGTGTGAGAATTTGATCAAGATCAACGTGAACGAAATTCATCGCAAGAAGAAGAAGAAGAGGATACATTATTTATGTGTCAGTTGAAGATCTAGCTCCTAAGTGACAAGAAGCTAATTTGGGACACAGTATATTAAAAATGGAAATTCAAAATATACACAATAAGTATTACCTAAAAATATACTAAGTCAACTTAAACGTGCACGTACTTTTGCATCCTGGCCAAGGAAGTTACAATCAGACACAAGTTGAAACGATCAAAGAAAGAAAGAAAGAAAGAAAGAAACGCTTCTCGACATTGTTGGTTCTCATACTATTTTACACGTGCGTAGCCGAATACAGAAAACAACAGAAGGTGTAGCTGGCGGGAATCCGCGCGCGAATGCTCACGGTGGCAAAGTGCGCGCGGGAATTTTCACGAACGGAGTCACGAACAGATAAAAGCCGCGAGAGAAAATTCCTTCCACCGCTGAAACAAAGCACTGATAGGTGAAATCGCGCCAGCTGCGCAGCCGGAACAACAGGGAAAAAAGTATTGAAGAATTTCCGAATCTTGTTATCCAATCAGAACCAGACCGAAAATTACAAAGGTCTCGTCCACACTACGGCGGAGGAATTTGAAAACGGAGGTTTCACTCTGAAAACGCATTAAATGTTTTCCGTCCACACTACGCCGGAAGAATCTAAATACGCAGCAATCACCGGCCATTTTGGATATGTGTTTGAGGAAAACTCGGTCGGGGAAATCACTTGATTATCGCGACGCCATCGTTTTCGAAAAGCTCCGTTTTCAAAATGTTGTCCATCCACACAAAATCGGAAAGCCGGCAGGTTTCAAATTCCCCCAGTTTGAAGAGCGTTT